CAGCAGTTGAGATTTTAAATTCTTTAAAAAGAGCAATGTGCTCCTACAGGAACTGGTTGTATGAGGGGTGGCACCACACAAAGTGATTTTTTCAACCATCGTAAAAATTCTTAAATAGCTATAAAAGTACGGATATGGACTTCACAATTAATAGAAGGAAAGTTTAAATTTATAAATCCTGATGTTTAATCTGAGTTATACCAATCAACAGGCAGTATTTTGAGGTGGATGTATAGTGCTCCGGCCATCATATAACCGGACTTTATAGGTCTGCCCAATTGAATTTTAAAATCTTCTTTGGCGCAGGGGCGGCGGAACAGGGGGAGGGGGGCTAGGGGGGCTAAAGCCCCCCCAGAAGTAAAAGTGGGAGTAGCCCCCCCAAAATGAAATCTGTTCCGCCGCCCCTGCTTTGGCGAGATATTGCATTGCACTTAGAGAGCTTTAGCAAGCCTGGTAAATCTGGAAAACGTAGTGTAATGACTGATGAGTGATGTGTGAATGCCATCATCTCTCGAGTCTCGACCTCAAACTCCAGATGGTTTTATCATGCAGAAAGGAAAAAGTTACGTTATTAAATCCCTGGACAAATGATCTGAGTTTCAGATCATGTTGCTACTTTCAGTTTGCAGGGAAATTTGATGTGGTAGTAAACTGCACTGGACTTGGTTCGCGTGAGTTGTGCAAAGATGACAAGATTGAGCCAGCAAGAGGGCATATTTTGAGGGTAAGATATTCGTGGTACAGCTTGTCATTGCTTGCCACCTCTGTGACCAGGGTAATTGTCTGATCATAGGGTCGTCCCACACGCATGTGACAAGAGTACTCCCAGTTTGACTTCACCAAACACCTCAGGTTTTCTCTGCATTGGAGGACCTCAACTCCTCAAGTGAGTACAATTTAAAACTGATAGAGCTATCCGCTAAAAATAAAGTTAGTTTAGCTTATATTTCTTCCTGTAGTAGTACTGGATCAATCGGGAATGGCCCTTAAAGCTAGTTTCCACTCAGGAAAGTTATCCGTGGGCGTGGATTGGAACGGACAAAAATAAAATTTTTTCTTTGTGTTAAAGTCATTAGTTCCAAAGTGGTTCCAACCCAGAGCTCACAAGACAAAGAAAAAATTTCTTGTCCGTTCAAATCCACGGCTAATTTTCCTGAGCGGAAACTAGCCTTTTTACAGAACTGATAAAGCTATCCACAATTGTGAAAACATTAATAATTAATGACGAAAACACAAGAGAAATCATGAGCGTGAAGGAGTTTGTATATCTGATAGAAAATCATGCTGATTTGCATGAACTTTAAGTTCAATTTTCTCACCAAATATCATTCATTAATTTAAATTGTTGAAGAATGTTCTCATCAAGGCGTATCAGGACATTAGCCATTTACATGTATACAGCCTCCTGTACTGTAGTGACACTGGGACCAATCAGGAATCCTTCACCTAGACTAGAGACTAGAGTTGATATAAGGATCTCCAACATCATGATAAATATTTGATTTCCTTTTAGATGCATGCACCTTATATTAAAAATTCGTGCAAAATATTGAGAAAAAAAGAAGTAGAAGCGGGATATACACATATATTTACCCCAGGTAATAAATGTCATATTTTATTTTATCTAGATGCGCGCGCCTTGGGTGAATCACTTCTACTATATTAAGAGAAGAAAGGAGTTAGAAGCCGAGAAAGCGACGTATATTTTTCCTAGGTAATGTAAAATTACGGCTGCTATTATTGCACAAATGGTAGAGATGCAGGGGGCAACCCCCCCCCCCCCTAATAATTTCTGAAAGTTTCTTAGTGATAGCTGAAAAACTGTGTGACAAAGCTGTAAGAATAATTCGTAGTCTATAAACTAGAAGTTACTATCGCAAGGAAAGTGCTGCCTCACCGCCCAAGGATCAAGGCAGCATGCGCAATTTGCTATTAAATCGTAATTATAGCAAGACCCCCGCATCGCAAGCGTCGTAACGATTTTAAAAACGCAAAATTTTCAATAAAAACTGCGATTTGTTGGAAACTTGAGTCACGCCGATAACTAGGACTCTTACGACAACGTCGCAAAGAAAGACTTAATTAAGCCTGGTTTCCATTAAATCGTAATTGTCGCAAGAACCGCATCGCAAGGGTCGCAACGATTTTAAAAACGCGAAAATTTTAATAAAAACTGCGATTT